CGGGCAGCCTGCAGGCTCTGCCCACCCACGCTCGGACGCCGCGGCCCTCGCCGGCCCGCCGTGGATCTTGGTCCTCCCCGAGCTGGGCCAAGTTCCCACGGTCGCATCCAGCTTCGGCAGAGACCTCCCCGGGCCTGAGGGGACGAGGAGCAAAGGGACGGCTCGGGCTGGGGACCCGGAGCCCAACCACGGGGCACAGAGCGCTCCCACGGCCTGAATCGGCCAGGAATTTGGAGCTGAAACCCTTCACGGGAAAGGGGCTGGCGGGAGGGGTTTTGACTGCTCGGAAAAAATGCGGATGGGAGCACATCCAAATTGTCCCCAAATGCCATTGCGACTGGACTTGGGTCACGGGCCAGGGGGGAGCCCTGGAGCACCCGTTTGGAGATGCCTTTCCGTGTTGCCGGTTCGGAGGAGAAACCGGCTGTGTTTTGAGCCTTGCCGGGGGGAGTCCGCACACGATGCTCGCTTGCGATGCGGGGTCGCTGGCCGCTCGGCCGGGTGTCCCTCGCGGGAGCTGGCTGTTTTCCAGGTAACTCCAGTCCCGGAGTCTGAAAGCAGCTGATTTCTTTTGCTGGGCCGTGGGGCTCATTAAACCCCTGCTCCCTCCCTCCCTCTCTCTCTCTCTCTCTCTCTCCCCCCAGGAGGACATCTGCCAGAAGAACTCGGTACGTCTCTTTTCCCCGTGCTTGCTGCCATCTCCCTGCCGCAGTGCCGTAGGGAGGGGGAGGTTTAGGGGGAGAATTGAGCCCCGCGGCTTCAGCAGGGTGGGCTCTGCATGCGGCGCAAGGCCTGTCCCCCAAGGCTGAGCGGGGGTAAGAGGTCGTCACTCACTCAGAGTGAGCACCTGGGAACAGCAGCATGGGAAGGGGCACCTGGTTTTTAGAAGGTTTGGGGCTGTTCACTCTGGAGCATAATGATGGCAGTCGGGAGAGTTGGTGAGCCTTTCCTTGCTGATGAATTATGGACAGGAGAGCAGGGCCAGTTGCATTAACATGGTCTGTATGGTCTGGGCTGCGTGGGCTTGGAGAGAGGGGGCTGCTTCATGAAACGAGCGGAGGAGTCCTCTGCTGGGCTGGCACAGCAGCTCACCTCTTCTCCCCTCCCTCAGGACCTCTGTGGCAGCTACACCTTCATCCCCTACGTGGTGACGCCCCAGAACAAGGTTGTCTGCTGCGACGCCAGTGCCCTGAAGTGCCTGACGGAGCTTTTCCAGCCCAGCTTCAACACGGAGGGCTTCTTCACCCCGCTGGTGGGCCGCCTCGTCAAGCTACTGGAGG